GCAACTTTGCTTTTTTTATTGTCATCTAGATAAAGTTGTAGCTTAGTATTTTCAAAGCAGTTGCAGTTTTTAGGGGCCTGTGTTCTGTTACTTTTCAGTGGGAATTGGATGTAAATTCCCTGAGGCCTCTTTCAGACTGTTACTGTAATTTAATTTTTAAATATGTCTTATTAAGCCAAAGTTGAGAGGATTTGGGAAAGCTGGGGTTTTTTTTTTAATTTTTATTCCTTTTTCACAGCTCTTTGTCGTGTGAATGGATAGTAATGTTATTACAGTTGCTGGTTTTGATGTCATAGAGTGAGTCAGCAAAAGCTTTTGAATCATTATATGGTGGTAACATATCAAAGCACAGTTTGCATGCTAAGATTTTTACTTTGCCTGGAATAACCTTTTACCTTCCTAGGTCAACTTGTCAGATGTTCATAGGTTAATATTTAAAGTACAGATCTGCTCTGCAAAGTGGCAGTGCAAAACTGTCTCTGTTTTAGTCAGCTGTTCTGCTTCATGTGTATTTAGACATTTGCTTTATTCGGTGACAAAATGTTTACTTTAGCTAGCTCAGGTATGAGCATGCATTTGTTCAGTACTGAGCATCAACACTGTTGTGTCCACCCATACCTTGCAAAGACCTTCAGAGGCAATCAAGTTGAACAGATGTAATAGAAGTCCTAACTTGGTTGGTTTGAACATTTTTTTGTTGTTGTTGACATGAAACAAAAAAGCCGAGTTTTGTTAGTGGAGTATTGGGCTGAGTTTTTAAAAGTTGTGTGAATATGAGGATATTTGACATGGAAATGGAGAGCGTGAACAAGAAGTGCTTGGGTGCTGCTAAAAACCCTGAATGTTCTCAATATGAAAAGTTACACGGTTCCTGTTCTTTTTAAAAAAAATAGAAACAACTTGAGATAAAATAATAATGTGGGCAAGATGCTTCAATGAGAATAGCTTTAGATTTGCTCTAAAACGTGTGTTTTGGGTTTGCCTGGCAAGGTTTTGGTAGAGGGGAGACTACAGGGGTGGCTACTGCGAGAAGCTGCTAGAAGCTTCCCCTGTGTCTGACAGAGCCCATGCCAGCCGGCTCCAAGACGGACCC